TTCAGATTATAAAAAGATAAGAAAGAGATGGCTCTTTAAAGAACCTTTGACTGAATGGTTCTTTGTGGAACCAAAAATGGCTCTTCTATGGCATCGCTTGAAGAACCTTTTGAAGCACCTTTATTTTTAAGAGTGTAAGAAGAGCAATAATCTGACAGGGGTCAAATTTCAGCAAAAACCTGGTCCTTGAATTTGATTGGCTGAGTGGCACATAAGGTCCAATAGTACAGGGACTTTTCCCTGAATGTATCACTCCAAATGTCTGCGTTTGAGTATTCTAGACAGAGTTTGTGTGTTAGTGGTGGGGTATAGACTCTTTTTTCGGTTTACTTATTTAAGCCAGTATCAATAGCAGAGATGGGCATAAATACAAAATACTGTGTGGAAAAATGTATTTAAATACAAATACAGTATTTTGTATTTTGAAAATACACAAAATACATGTGAAATTTGCCATCCAATGTAGACATCCCTATAGGCTAAAATCTATCTGGACTTAATCTGAATGCAAAAAAAAATAAAAATTATAATTATTTCATGTAAAATGTATTTTGTTGTATATAAAGTTTATTCAAATTAGAAAGTATACATTTAAAGGGGTCATGAACTTACTTTTTTATTTTATTTTATACTGTTGTCTGAGGTCCACTTATGACATTCGTGTGGTTTTTACATTAAAAAACATTAAAATCAATAAGTAATGGGTTATTTTCTACCCTGGTTTTGAGGCCGGCTCGAGAAATGCTTGGTTTTTTATGGGCGTGCCGCACGCATTGAAGACTTGGAAGTAAACGCCCACTGCTATGACTGGATAATAGTTTTGCATAGTAAATTAACTTTCTGTGTGTCTGTTTGACAAGCTACATCCTTCATAGTTGGAGCCTTCTGTGACTTTGGTTAGATACGTACATATAATCAGTACATATCAAGCGATCTCTAACAAAGCAATAGTGACACAGTACAAATATTTTTTACTCACATACGTGTGCTGCGTTCCTGTCGGATACAATATAGACAGCACAGCATTGCTTTTTAATCTCAGTCTCTCTGCAAATCCAGCATCGACCTGTGTCTTGTTTCCAACGGAATCCGCGCGGTGAAATAAAGTGAACAAACCATCAATGATTTACTCACGTGAGCTGAAACTTAATTAAAAATAAAGTTCAACCACGCATTCCTAATATTTGAATCCAAAGGAAGGTTATGCAGCGACTGTGTTCTTCCACAACCAGTAACTGCAAAATATTTTGCGATCTTCAACGGCATGTGTAATGTTATTGCTTGGTTGCTCGATCCGGTTTAGCGCCACTTATGCTATTTCCCTATGTCATGCGGGAATCAGTGGGTGGGGCTACAGAATTAGGCGTTGATATTCTTCTGTGGAGGCGGAGTTTAACCTATCTATTACGTCATAGGTAGGCACATTTCAGGATCTGGCGTTTGCTGGGCCTGATGTCAATAAAAGCTTTTATTTCAGTAACAAGGACGTTTTCAGTTCTGAAACTTACAGGATATTCTTTTAGTACGATGACCTCTTATATATCAAAAGCTCAAGTAAAAGTTGATTTCTCAATTCATGACCCCATTAAGGTTTTTCATTTTAGAAATGAAATTCAAAAGCTATTTTTCCAGAAATACTAATGAAAATCTCCTCATATAAGTGCCATATTAATGAATTCTCATTACTGCTTCAAAGTCCAATTCAAATTGTTCCAATTTCTAAAATGTGTTACAATCTTTTGGAAGAATAGTGTGACACACTCAAGAGGTTTTCAAATAGACCTGGTAGAAAGCCTTTGGAAACAAAAGCTGGAAGCTTGACTTGAAAAGTGTAATTATGAGACTACATTGAATTAGAGAAATGGATACAGAATGGAGAGGCAAAAACATATCACATTAAAATAACTAATTTATTAATTAATATGGGGGCTCTCAGTAATTGAGACATTCAAGTTGGGATTCTTGCAAAATATTACTACAACACCGAACAACGTTTATTAGAAAACATTACACTGTGTTTTTAATTGAGCACTGAACATGAAGTGGAGACTCAACGCAGTGCCAAAATTGTAAATTGCACTAAACTAAACAATAATGTCCTTTTAATCAAGCATTAAAATGTATTAGCAAATCCAGCATCGACCTGTGTCTTGTTTCCAACGGAATCCGCGCGGTGAAATAAAGTGAACAAACCATCAATGATTTACTCACGTGAGCTGAAACTTAATTAAAAATAAAGTTCAACCACGCATTCCTAATATTTGAATCCGAAGGTTATGCAGCGACTGTGTTCTTCCACAACCAGTAACTGCAAAATATTTTGCGATCTTCAACGGCATGTGTAATGTTATTGCTTGGTTGCTCGATCCGGTTTAGCGCCACTTATGCTATTTCCCTATGTCATGCGGGAATCAGTGGGTGGGGCTACAGAATTAGGCGTTGATATTCTTCTGTGGAGGCGGAGTTTAACCTATCTATTACGTCATAGGTAGGCACATTTCAGGATCTGGCGTTTGCTGGGCCTGATGTCAATAAAAGCTTTTATTTCAGTAACAAGGACGTTTTCAGTTCTGAAACTTACAGGATATTCTTTTAGTACGATGACCTTGTATATATCAAAAGCGCAAGTAAAAGTAGATTTTTCAATTCATGACCCCTTTAATTACTTGCTCAAAGTTTTTTTTTTTTTTTTGTAGGCTATCAGTAGTAATCAATAATCAGTATTGTTCAATTTAGTGTTATAGGCTATACATATGTTATCATATTCATACAGTATGTTTTGTTCTAATGTCACAAGTCATAATCTCAAGTTTACTGGGTTTTACACGATTCTTTGATTCTTTTTAGTAGAGTGTACTCAGAAACATTTTCACATGTGTCCTCCAAAATGACCCACAATCAGTTAATATGTGAAGAAATCAATTTATTCCTAAAGTTCTCACAAAATGATTGTTTGACAAACTAGGAAGGAGCACGCAGTCAGCAGGTTCGCGGTGTAGAGGCAGGTGAAAGTATGAACAAGGCTTCAACTGCACAAACCACTTCCACTACGAGAGAAAGTGCCAGATTATTCCACGTCCCGTGTGAAAGGGCCTTTTTTATGGAGTGAATAATGTGTCGAAATTAAACAAACAAATCCAGTATTTTGCAAACAATCTTGATCTGCTTTGCAAAGGAATACTCGACTCGCAAACAAACAGAAAGTGATTTGCAAATACAATGGTCAGAGTGAGCGAAATCGCAGAGGTGTAACAAATAAACGTAAGGTTAATTATAGATACAGTAAGACAGAAACCCACCTGTTCACCGCTCATTTTCATAAACGTGTTTCAGCGCTTCTCCCGGGAGACTATCGTAAAGTCACCCATAGCGCCATCTGCTGTTTTGAAAGAGGAAGTTGCTCAATTTGTGAGAAAATCAAGCCAAGTGATCGCATAAAAGGGCGAGTGTCTCACAATCAAAACAGCCCAGCATTTGTATGCACTAAATTTGGTATTTTTTCAAAGGTTACATGCAATTCGTAGCATTGATTTGTGAAATATGGTGTACGCTCATGTATATTTGTAAAGCATACGTTTATTTGACACCTCTGCGATTTCGCTCACTCTGACCATTGTATTTGCAAATCGCTTTCCGTTTGTTTGTCAGTCGAGTTTTCCTTTGCAAAGCAGATCAAGTTTGTTTGCGAAATTTGTTTGTTTAATTTTGGCACATTATTCATTCCATACTTTAAGTCAAAAGTATAGGCCTACTTGTCGGCGTTCCACTCCAGTCTCTGAGCACGCGCACACAAAAAACACGCTATTACTCAACCATTTGTCCATGATTCTTTTTCCACTCCAGCGTTTTCCCACTAAAAACTGCACAGATATATTTGCTTACCCCGATAACGATAGGCCTTTTTCTATGTAAACGATTTAGAAAACGTTCAAGCAATTCACACTTCATTGAACTATTCACACTTTATATTATTGCCACAATGTGTATTGTCATATCACCCTGCCCTAACATGCAGTAATGCTTTAAACACATTTGACAAACACTAGTTGATAAAAAACAACAACGATTAGGCTAACTATCAAAACTGATTGGCTAACGCTATTTTTTCCCTTGTTGTTGGTGCTCTTTTATTCTTTCATGTTAACTGAAGGCAAATCTGAATGATGCACTATTTTAACTTTAATCAGCATGTACAATTGACCATGACATCCTCACCCTATATTATTCCAGAAAAGTGCCTCACCCAATGCTGAATGGAGCTGTAGAGCTGCAGCTCACATGCATGAATGTTGGGGTTGGGGGTAGGGGAGGTGTCTGAACTAGTCGATGCACAAAAACAGCACCCTGATAAAGAAGTTGACTGTCTGGCACATAGTATTTTATGTATTTTGAAAATACAAAATTATCTTAAATGTATTTAAATACAAATTACATTTTATTTTTTCCAAAGGCTTTAAACAGATACATGCATTTAAAATACATATTTGAAATACAAAATGTTGTATTTTGTATTTCAAATATGTATTTTAAATACATGTATCTGAAATACTGCCCATCCCTGGTCAATAGTAAACTGTCTTTATGAACGAGTCGTTGAATCATTGACTAATTTGATCAACAAGATTTATTCAGGAGTGCCACCACTGGACAGGACCTTTCGTCATTTTTGTTAATGGAGCAAAAATAGACAAATACCTAGCAATATTTTGTTTTAAAAAAATTAGTATATTAAGTTCTTGTTTAATGAACTCTTGTAATGCTGATGGTCTGACTATAAGCAAAGGTGCATCCACACCATGCCATAATTACCTTAAAGGGTTAGTTCACCCAAAAATGAATATTAGCCTGTGTTTTACTCACCCTCGAAGCATCCTAGGTGTATGTGACTTTTTTCTTTCAGACGAATCCAATCGGAGTTATATTAAAAATACATTAAAACTAACCCTTTAATTATGAGATACCAACGTGTCCTTGTAGAACTCTTAATTGCAACCTGTAAACTGACCACTGCAGACTCACCAGAACAAAACCCTGAGTTAGGATAGGATAGGAATAAAAGTGGAAAGTTTGGTGTATGTAAGTGCTACTAAAGTGGAGATTTCTGGCTCAGTGCAGGGGAAAAAAAAACACTTTTTTTAAGAAAATAACCTTTAAATATATATACTGTAACTTAAATCTACAGGCGCAAACAAATAGTAAAGTGCAATAAAATAAAAACCTGAATGTATATTCTTGTTTCCTTTCCACTAGTCTGAAACAACACGTCACAGAAATCAAACAGAATCAAAAAATCTTAAAAATTGACCCACACATAAAAAAAGTTTTTGCCTGTAGTGTCTTGCCTTAATTAGCCTACATATTAACTGAAGCATTAAGTTTAGTTATTTGGCTATTGTGTAAAAAATGAAACAATTATAACCTTTTAACTACATTTTTAAGTTTTCTGAAGAATGAGAGTTGCTTGCCTCTGCTGTAATGGTTCCTAATGCCACAGTTTTATCACCCATTTTAGTGTCTGCAAGGTGAAAATAAGCAGCACAATTTTAGGTATCATTCTTGTTAGTATCACAATGAATCACCAAAGTTTAATACTCTGAGTCAGTGGTGAAAGTGAATAGAAAGTGCGCATTACAATCATGAATGCTGTTTCACCCCCAGACTTACTAATGATTTACATTGCTGGTTTATTACCTGTCCACAGGCAGTCCTCCTGTTCTGTCCACTGCTGAGGCTGTAGGGATTGTGACTGCTGTAGTGCTCATCACTATGATTACAGCTGTTGTGGGGTATTTATTCCTGCGCAACAGACGGTATGTTACTAGAAAACATTTAGAATTTAGCAAATGCATCAGCCAACTAGCAAAGCAAAAAATAAATAAAAAATTAGAACTTTTGCTACACAGGGTTTTAAATTATCAAATCCATTTTCAAAGGTTCTCTAATTTTTCATAAAATTGATTTAGATCTATTTTTATTCAGTTTTTGATTAATATGATTAATCCAGCACATCTGCATTTGTACAAATACTACAGGTAAAACCAAGATAATGTGCCAGCATTAGACATATGTACAGTATATACAAACACAACATACTCCATCACTGTCTTTATCTTCACTAAAGCTAACAAAAAGCACATACTGATATTAAATACAGAATCACAGTAAAACAATAGTAAAGTGGCTGAGCTGTGACTAATAAATTCATTATCATGTTCAATATTCAGCATACGGTTATCACAAGATGTTAAAAAAAACTTTAACATTTATTTTTGTAAATCATCTATTTTTGTTTATTTTGTTTTGCTACACATGGAAGAAGAGCCGGCAGCAATTTCAATTATTGTAAGTATAAACTTAACATGGGCTGTTTAAAATCTCCCTTTTTAAAGGAAATAATCATTGTAAAACTGAACATATTGCTAATTCTTGCATGATAAATTACTTTTATGTTTCTCATTTGTAAATTGCTGTAGATAAAAGTATCTTCTATGAGTAAATGCAAATAGGAACAGGTTTTAAAATGAATTAATTAATCTTATGCAAATCTGAGGATGCCATTTATGATCTGTAAGTACAAATTGCAAAATTGAGGGTATGGCTTCAAAAAATTGGTGAGTACGGATTACAAAATCATGGGGACAGACTTTCAGACGGGATTGTATAGGGGGCTCTTTACTTTCCCCTTTGCTCTTGCACTTCTAAGTCACGCCTTTAGACCTTTGATTCCATTCCTCTTCTGTGAAACCATGTATCATGACGCTATTTGACCAGTGTTTTACCTCTTTACTAGACACAACTCAGAGCCCCAGTGACCTACAACAGGTGAGACTTCCTGCTGCTGAGAACAACATCTTAACTGTGGGAGAAAACGTTATTTAGTGAAAGATGCAATCAATCCCTAATCTCATAAACAAGTCATATTTCACAAGTGTCAAACCATGAGCTTCTGTAAATGTCTCAACTTCTCTTTACCTGTATTAGGATGTCACATATTCTGATGTCACAATACTGAAACCAGGTAAAGCTAACAGAAGCACCTCGTCATCGGGGGACATTGAATACGCTGCGGTTTCCTTCAGTGGTCGGTCAGGATCAGCGTCACTGCGAGCCTCAGCCAATCAGACTGCTTTGGGTTTCCACACAGCAGAGCAGGAAACTGTGTACGCACAGGTGAAAAAAGACTGATTTTGAGTACAAACGTCACATCCACTACAGATTTCTGTTAATGAGGTGTTTGTGAACAGTAGAGACAATAAAGGGCCGATCACACCAAGGACAACTATAACGTTTTAATAATCATTCTAATTCTAAGAATAGGGAAGTCCACACCTCAGCTATAATGATAACGACAGAGGAACAATATTGTTGGAATCACCTTTTTCCAGCTGATGGAGGACAAAACCATTGACCATCTGACTTTAAAGAGCTTGAGCATTTATAGCAGCAGACAACAAAACTCCAGCTTATAATAAACAAAACGTCATCGTCCGTTAGCTATGGACAATTATGAATTTATCGTTATTGTTATCGTTCTTGCTGCGAATGGACTGATAGCCGCCTTTCCCGACCCCATCCCCCTCTCTCTCACATACTTCGCTTCCTGTCAAAACCTACTGTCCTATCAAAATAAAAAAGCAAAAATGACAAAAAAATCCCCTGCCAATATGGCCCAAAAACTGACACTGACAGTGTTTAAAAAGCGTGCTTGTTCTCTTTTTTTAGAGCTAGACTTGAGTCTGTGTGTGGTCTATGCAAAAAGTCACAAATCTTAGCACTTCTTAAAATGAAAGAAATGAGCTGATTTAAATACATACCAATACATACTCACTGTGAACATTTATTCCTAAGTGTCCCTTTATTTTCATCTCTTTGTGGGCTTTGATTTAGAATAACAAAATTGCCTGCAGAAAAACACAATCCAGTCTGTACACAGCATAAGGGTCGACAATAAAAAAAAAAAAGTAAAATAAAAAATGGAAAAATTCATGTTGTTAAAAACAAATTAGTATGGATTTTTTAATTCAGATTTGTATTACAAAGGATTTTTTTTTTTTGCCTATAGTTTTAACATTACATGATCAACTGGTTGGAAAAGCTCCTCAACCTCTAAAAACTGACCCGTTGATACATTCATTTCAAATATCCTCTGCACCTCAAGATGTAATGTAATATTAATGTAAATAACCATCATTTTATATGCAATACACATTTGTATAGAAACATTTTAAAGAATAATAATAAAAAAAGAGGTTCAGTGCCATTTTGGAACATCTGTGGTTCTTCTATTTCCTTCTTAATTCCATGAGTCATTTTCAGTGCACTGATGTGTGTGGGAAAAATGTTAAGCTGAACCACAACATCAGATGTCTGACTTTCTGTTTCTAAAAAACTCTGATCTGTGGTGAATGCAGACAAGCACACAAGTGCAAATTTGGGTTGCGGTATGTGGTGTGATTTTCAGCACTATTTACGGACTCACAAGTTCTTGCAGACAGATCAAAGTCCACGTTTTAATGAACACAGCTCCTCATTTCAAATAACACATATTCAGTCAGAGTTGATCTCCTCAGTATCAATAAAGTATCTCTATTTTTAATTTCCAATTCAGACAACACAACCCCAGAATTAAATTACACAGACAGTGAATTTAAAAATAAGTACAGTACAGAAAAGTAATAATATCTGTTTAGAATATCTTTTTAATTAACAAATTTGTGTTTCATAGCGTTTTTGTCCTCCGTTAACGCATGTGCTCTCATTCTGTCACGGTCTGGCTCTGATCTGGACAGTATCATTGAGACAATGATGTCCAAAAGAGAGCATCGCTGTGCTACTTCCTGTGTATGACCTCTATCGTAACATAGAGACCGAGTTCAGTCATTGAAGGGAAGGAGAGTCTGTGCCTCTGATCGCAAGCAGACGTCTGTGTGCTGCCTGAAGGTCAGAATCACGGGGAAGTTTAATATCTCTGTGCTGCCTGTCGTGAAGCATTTCTAAATCCTCAGACTGAGAGTCTTAAATATTTACCATCACATTTTCAAGGTTGTTTCAGACACGGTCAGTGTTATAGTACATTGTTCAGTAGTACAAAAGAATCATTGATGTGACACATGGCTATTCAAAAAAAAAAAGCAAAAAAAAAAAGCACAATTCTCTCGTACCAAATAAAAGATGGAAAGCACAGTTGTCTGTGATTTTGAACAAAAGGGGCAAATATTGCAAAAACGAGTCATTTTGTCTCCCCCTTTTGTCAGTCTCTCTGCTCTCATTTCTGCTCTCCCATCAGGTCTGTGTTGTTGCTAGACTGAGGTGGTGGTAAAGTGCAGCCTTTTGCCGGCGGGGAGTGGCCTATCCGGCACGGGCTCAGGCCACCGCCGCCGCCGCCTTCACTGTCTGTATTGGAGGATGAGTGTGGAGGGGGCGGGGCCAGGCGAGGCAGAGGGGCAGAAGAGGGAGGGATGCGTGTGCAAGAGGTTGTGCGTAGACTCTGGATACGCCGGCACTCCTGGCAAATGCGCACATGAGTGCAGCCCCGCGGCAGAGGCACTGTCACTGCAGGTGGACCCAGGGCCACTGTGGGGGTGCTGTTGGCACCTAACGGGTCCTCCAGAAGTCGCTGGGGGCCAGGGCCCATGTCTGAGGGGCCTCCTCCTGGCCCTGAACTTCCTGTCAGGGGTCCAGTACCGCTGTAGAGCTTTCCGTTGCTAAGGCGCATCTCTCGGACAAAACGCAGGGGCCTCGGGGCCCCTAAAGTGATGCGAGTGGGGTGTCGAAGGGCCAGAGAGCTGGACAGGGGTCGGCGGCGGCGAAGACGAGAACTTTTCTTGCAGGAAACGGCGTTACAGAACTCTGTCAACATCTCTTGACATACAGACACCTGAACATTTAGAAAAATATATTAAACGCTTGAACAAAGGAAGATTAGTATTTATCACAGCTATATACACACATATATATCATCAAGGCTGCATGTATTTAATCAAAAATACAGTGAAAACAGTAATGTCGCAAAATATTATCATTCGGAAATCATTCTAATATGCTGATTTGCTGCTCAAGAAACATTTCTTATTATTATCAATGTTGAAAACAGTTGTGCTGCTTAATATTTTTGTGGAAACTGTGAAACGCTACCATTCAAACGTTTGGGTTAAGTAATATTTAAAAAAACAAAAAAATAATTTTATTCACTAAGGATGCATGAAATTGAACAAAAGTGAAAATAAAGACATTTAGAATATCACAAAAGATTTACATTTTAAATAAATGCTGTTTACTGAACTTTCTATTAATCAAAGAATCCTGTTTACATAAAAATATAAAGCAGTTATTTCAGATTTCACAATATTTCTGTTTCTAACTGTTTTGTTAAACAAATAAATGCAGCCTTGGTGAGAATGACATACTTCTTTCAAACTCATTAAAAAAATGTTTTGGTTTTTTACCTTGTATTACAGATTTTTACACAAGTAGTCATGCACACCGTAACACAACCACTGACTTGGACTTCACTACGACACACACTAAGGCGAGGAGTCGGCGGGTTGCTTTGTAACCTACTGTAGAGTGACTGTGATATTGGCGGTCGCAGGAGAGAGGCCGTACCTCGTCTGTTTCAGCTGATCGGCGTGTGGACCACACAAACTCCATCACAGCCACAAACACAGCAATAATCAGGCCACAGATTAACACCACAAATATACCGCCAATGTTCTCCATCCCAAGACCTGCAACAGTCAATTAAACACTTTTAAACAATCTGCATCTATGAATCTTTAATCACAGACAGAGAAAATAATAAATATACTTTCCTAAAGTCGGCATGAAGTGGAAATTCACCTCATCTATTTTGTAAATGCAGTTGATATTATTGTGAACAATTCATCCATTGTGTTTTCAATTCATCCATTGTGCTTCATTTTTTTTTTATTTGTTCTGACCTCTTGATCATTTTGAATCAAAATGTCATAATTGATCTTCCAGAAATGACAGACTTCTCTCTGGCGATGCATGCCAGACTTTTCCAATCATTTAGTCCACCTAAACCCAGTCCCTTTCTTACAATTCACTTTCTAACAATTGACTTAAAGGGATAGTTCACCCCAAAATTAAAATGACTTACTCACCCTCAAGCCATCCTAGGTGTATATGACTTTCTTCTTTCAGATGAATAAAATTGGAGTTATATTAAAAAATGTCCTGGCTCTTCCAAGCTTTGTAATGGCAGTGAATGGTGGTCAAGATTTTGAAGCACAAAAAAGTGCATCCATCCATCATAAAGAGTATTCCACACGGCTCCGGGGGTTAATAAAGGCCTTCTGAAGCGAAACGATGCATTTGTGTAAGAAAAATATCCATATATAAATAAATGTAATATTTTAATTAAAATTAAAATACCCTCCCCCAATTCAGTGCCATTATAAAGCTTGGAAGAGCCAGGATATTTTTTTAATATAACTCTGATTGTGTTCGTTTGAAAGAAGAAAGTCATATACACCTAGGATGACTTGAGGGTGAGTAAATCATGGGGTAATTTTCATTTTTGGGTGAACAATTCCTTTAAGCTTGCATTCAGATCTGCCTCCATATAATCAACAACTGATAGTTAGAACCAAGTCCCCACCCTCCAGTGTGTGTGTGAAATCCCTGCTGTGTTTTGGAACATAGTAGCTGGTTTCTAACTGGTTATGAGTTGGCACATGCTGATAGATTGTTTCTTATCATCTTGGACCAGAAACAAACCAACTACCTGCTGGTTTTTGGAACTACCAGCCATTTTTTCGGAACATTGTAGCTGGTTGACCAACTAACATGTTCTTCACATCTACCGGTTCCAACTGGATTTTTCAGCAGGGATAAGAATGGGAGGAGATTATTGCGTTGAAGTGCAGGAGAGGTTCATGCCTTTGGCGCGGTGGTCTTCCTCTTTGGGACACTGCCCTCCCTCCCACCATCTTCTCTTTAGGATCTCCAACCTGTTATTCTCCTGCAACTGCAGCACTGCCAGACTGATCTCATCTCTGAAAGGAGAACCTGGGAGACAGAATAATGCCGATGTAATAGTTTGGTGATTTAGCATGAGGAAGTGTCAATGAATTGTGCACATAATGGCACATTCACTTCTGTAAAAACAAGCCTGTCTGATGATAGTCAAATTAATTCACAGTTTGCTTATTTATTGGTGACCTAGAAACGCAGAGCCTTAAATATGCCTTCTTCATTACATTACTTTTTAAAATGTGGTCTCAAGAGTTTTTGACCTTAATGTACGTTAAAGACATAATGAAGCCTTCTATGGAATTTTTTCCATTTTGGGGAGTATCACGACGCATGCGCGCACTTCCGCTTCATGTAAACAACGCATGCGCATTGCGCTGCTGCTTACGTCAACACGGACATGAGTCAGCACACGCATGCGTTGTTTACACGAAGCGGAAGTGCGCACATGCGTCGTGATACTCCCCAAAATGGAGGCAAGCCACAGCAGACTGGATGAGGAGGAGAAGAATTGTTGAACAAAGTTGTTATTTTTGTTTTCCTTGCGCACAAAAAGTATTCTTGTAGCTTCGTAAAATTACGGTTGAACTACTGATGTCACATGGACTATTTTACTGATGTCCTTTCTACGTTTCTGGACCTTGATCGTGGTAGTACCCTTGCTGTCCATGGGAGAGTCAAAGAGCTCTTGGAATGCATCAAAACTATCTTAATTTGAGTTCCGAAGATGAACGAAGGTCTTACGGGTTTGGAACGACTTGAGGGTGAGTAATTAATGACAGAATTTTCATTTTTGGGTGAACTATCCCTTTAAATGTAATTATGGTTTAAAAACCTCATGATTCCCAGTCCATTGTAAGTTTGTTACTGTGCTCATTTTTTCCTTAATTTCTACAAATGTAGGGATGAGTTGAGATCATTTTCTGTGGTATTATGTTCCTCTTGCTCACCGAAAGGCATGCCGATTCCGTAACCCTTGGTGTCCAGCAGGCCTCCGATCTGGGTGAGGTTGCATTTGAGGCTGCGGTGGTACTCATTCATGGTGCTCTCAAGCAGGAAGGCGTATTTAGAGTTCAAGACTCGTGCAATGCCCTCCTCTGTGCTCTTCACGAAGACACTGGGCTGCTTTGAATACATGTAGTTCCACATCCGCTGATACGTTTGATAACGAGAGTTCTGAAAGAGGGGAGGAGAGGATGTATAATCAGTGCATACATCATAAAAAAAACATTTAAACACGATTTAACATGCAAAAAAAAAAAAAAAACCGAGTGAGACAGATGGTAAAAACTCTTGAGCAAACAAAAAACTGATAAGAAAATAGATAGTCTGTAAGCCAAGGGTACACTACAAGCAAAAACAACAACAACAACAAAATAAGAGATTCAAAACCCATCCAAATGCATATGCAAATATATGCCTGCTGGCACTTTACATGAATATGGTACAAAATTGGGCTTGAAACATTTTTTTTTTTCTTTTTTAACAGATGTTCAGTGAAAGAAGGTGCTTAGAGCATTAGAGGCACAAATCCCAAGTTTTTCGTTGTGACACCTATAAGTAAGATGAACATAAACACTACAAATGACAGTATCCCAACCAAAAATAACTGAATGTATAATTCAGTTTATTGCAGTAAAAAAAAATAAAAAATACAATTGAAACATCATGTGGACTCTTTCTACAGCATGACAATTAAAAAATGATATTACATTTTCTCAATTTTCTCATTTTGACAAATATTACATTCTTGACTGTCTTTATCAAGTTTGTCTGTTTTTATCTGTTATAGATTAATGTAATTGTACATTAATCTATAATTAAAAACTAGTATTTGGTCCCAAACTGATGATGGCTTAATTTAGGCTAAATTTGCAAGCTTATGGTCTAGTACATTCTTACTTCTTTTCTAATTTTATAAATTTTGTCAACTATTTTTTTATTTATAAATTACATGAATAAGATCAACATGAAATTAAAATTCACCCAATCTATTTTTACATGGTTGTTATTGATATTATTGTGAGTGATTTATCTATGCGTTAATCTTTTACATTTGTTTTGACCTCATAATTTAATAAAAATGTCATAAAAATGTCTTAACTCGATCTTCCAGTGAAACGACTGACTTCTCTCTGGTCATGTAATATCGCTTAAACCCTGCCCCATTCTTTCAGTCGACTGCAAGCTTGCATTCAAATCTGTCACCATCCAATCAACAACTGATGGAAGACCAAGTGTCTGTCCTACATTTTTTTCCTTTATCTATAGTCTGTTTCACTCGCATATACATTACATTATGAATAAAAATATCTGTCGCTACATCTCTTTCATCACATTTGCAAACATGTTCTTAGTGTTGGTGACAGGCTTGCAAAATATGAAATGAACAGAAAATTATAACGTCGTACAATATTTAGTTTGACCTCCTGAGGCTGCTTAACATTTGCTGATGGTTAAAAAGAAGTTTAGAACACCAAAGTATACTGAATTTATGGAAAGTTCCTCCTATTTATTATGACCATTTATTGCCCACAAAACACACAATGACTCCTCACTAACCCTTCCAGGCAGATGTTTCATAAGTGACCATTCACATTTGCAAGCCAGCATGTCTTCACTTTTGTGTGCGTATGTGTGTATAAACTTAATATCATATGATTTGTACCATAAAAAAGGTCATGGTGCTTCCTCCATGAATGGTGCCATACTGGATATTGGTTTGATCGGCCAGGTCATCGGGGGATTCGATTGGCACTTCCATTCTCTGCACTGTCAGAAACGCAGCCAGATTCGCTGTGTATGAAGAGATTATTATGAGAGTGAATGCCCACCTAAAAGAGAGAGACAGAGAGAGCGAGGACATAAACGATGGAAGCAGAGGGCAACGAGCCCATATCTGTGCTGTGTAATGTGTCCATTGACTCTGTTAAAATGATCATCAACACATATGGAGCTCCAGCACACGCTCACACTCACCAGACCCCACTGACGCAGCGTGTGGAGAGGGCCCGGGGCATGATCTCTGACCCCTGCTGCATGAAGCCCCCGACAGGAAACCACAGGCTGTTTCCTAGTGTGTACTGATTTTCCAGCAGGTCTCTGCGCTCACGCAGACACGGGTGAGGGTTATACCATTCATACGGACTCAACCTGAGACAAGTACACAGAGAGAGCATTAGAGAAAAATCTTGCACGGTGCATTACATTTTTATTTTCTCACTATACTATAAAAATAATAAATCACTACATTTTGCTAGATGAATTCTTCAAACAAAATAAAAAATGATTTATTATAATAATAATAATAATAACTGCCAATAGGGTAAGAAAGCTAAACCTAATTGAAGATTGCATTTGCATCTCTGAAATAAAGTATTAATATCTTATGCAGTTTTACCTCTGAGATAAATTAATATTATTTTAAAGAGCAAAACAACCAAACACATTGATTAAGGCAAAGATTTTTAGCTGTGTTTGAGTATATGTGTGTGTAGGTGTGCGTTTATGTGTGTACCTAGCAGAAAGAAAAAGCACACAGCTGACAGCGAGGTAAGCCAGCAGCATGAAGAGCCAAACAGCCGGTGAGAAGGGATCCAGGAAGGAGAAATAACCTGGCTTTCTGCCCTGAGAGACAGTGGAAGAGAAAGAGAGGTAAATGAATGCAGCTGAAGGAAGGAAGGTGGTAGAACTAAAAGCCAAAAGGAATTAGGTACACTATGAATATTCAATCTGTTAATTACATAAATGTGACAATAGAAAATGCAGCACTGTATAATACATATTACAGCATTTAGACAAATTTTCTTTCCATCAATCAGTCAGTCTCTCTGTCTGTCTGTCTGTCTGTCTGTCTGTCTGTCTGTCTATCTATCTATCTATCTATCTCTGGTTGTTATTCAGGACAAGAAGAGAATATCACACTATTATCAGGGCATTTGCCTCAAGGTGTATCATCTCATCCTCCTGTTTCTTCCATTGTGTTTTAATCGTGTATGTTTTACTTCAGCCACAAGAGGGCGCTATTGACCAAAACAGCACACCAGAGTCAACAAAGATGGATTTTAAAACTGTTCCATGGAAAGCAGATCTTGCTGTTTACTGTTGACCAATAAAGGTACAGCCAATATTAACCAGTTTTCGGTATCAGAAGGTGTGGGTCAGGTTTTGCTTATAAAACATTTGGTCTCTACAAGGATATTAAAACCTGAAACCAGTCAACCCCATGATAAAAGTTTAATAAACAATTGGAAGTTAATTACAAATTCATTACAATCAATTAATTTATATGCAAATTCATTATTCTAATTAATCATAGTTAATCACATATATCAATATTTGATGAGAAAAGCACAGAAATTAAGAAATATTTGAAAGACGTTGCAAAAGAGTAAAACATTGCATAGACATTACCAAAAAGCAAATTTTAACCTCAGTTGTTCATTGTTTTTTTTTTTTTACACAATATCACTGAACACAAGCCTATAACAATCTTTCAGTCAACAGCAATACATTTTTGTTAACAAGTTTGTCTGTCTGAGGTAAACTTTTACACAGGACATGTTTCTGTATTCTGTCTCTGTTGTTTTTTAGTTTGTTGATGTACGTGAACATCCAGACTGAAGCCATTGCGTAGATTCTGTGTGTGTGACTTACTATATGGACCCTGTAAAGAATACTGATGCCCAGGGTCATAAAGGGTTTTGAGAAGTCAATGACCTTCTCTCTTTCAGATGTGATGGTAAAAGCTGCTACAGCCAAATCAGCTTTCTGCTCCAAAGAATGAAGGAGAGAGGAGGAGAGAGCAACAAAACATTGTAAAAGCAGAACATAAATTCTTGTAAAAGTCATCTAGACACAATAAAGAAAATGACACAGAACTGAATTGAATGCAACTGTGTGATTTCCATAATTAATTCAGGAGGGGATGTGTTGATGAGTATGACCACATACCCTGTTGATCAGCTCTCCCACCATGCCTGTCCATGAGCCGTTGGGTTCAGGTGCTCCATACAGGCCATCGTCCACCAGTTTGATGAGGAAGGTGAACTTGAGGCTATCAGCCAGCTCTCTCAACATGTCCACACAGAAACCCTCGTACTGCTCATTCCCCTCAAACTCCTGGTAATTCACCTTTCTCATCACGTACGGGTTCTCCTGCACGCACAAACACACAAACACATTCATGTTATGCAGTAGTTTAAAGTCCCCATCACATTTGTCTTACTATATTAGATAAAATATTAAACACATTTTTAAAAGTTATAAGTTTATAAGTTAAGAAAACAGTTGTGAATTTTTTTATAATTTTACTACTTTGAGCAGGTGTTGCTTTGTCATGTCTCCAGATGACACATTCATTTCTAACATGAAAAACATTAATAACAAATATTCCAGGTGTTTTTTTTTTTAATTCTTTCCTTTCTCTAATCTCTAAAATGTTTCGGGCAAAACATTTTTTTTATTTTTTTTTTATTGGGAATATTGTTTTATTTGGTAATCACTATATAGTTGTCCTCTTTATCATTTCAGTTTGTTAGTAATCCTTTAACTAACAAAAGACAGTTATTTAATGACTGAAAGTGACAGGAAGTGACATATTTTCTAATCGGAACACAACAGCACAAAAAGAAGCAAATTTTAGCAAAGGATTTGGTAAATTCTGTTATGTAGTTGGTTTGTCTCACTTTAAAACGCATCATCTTGTAAGATAAAAGTACAGACATGTTTTATATATTTTGAAATATCTTTTCACTAATTTGGACTGAATTAATTTCAAATTTACCCTCCATTAATTCCTGTGAATTCCTTATTCTCTTAATAATAACTATGTTCTTTCCATCATGATAGACATTCCGTTAACTGTATGTCCATTGTGTAAATACGTTATAATTAATTAATAGTTTAAGTGGACATTATAGAGTTCAAAATGTACTGCATAACAGGAATTACCAATGTAGATCTGGTAAATATTGTGTGAACATAAGTGGGCTATTTGGACCTGCTGTAGTGCAGTTGGTTCTCACCAGTATAGTGGTGATGATGAGGCTCTTGTTAGCCAGAGTCTCAGACACGTTGATATCCAGACTGGTGGAGTTCATCAGCAGAGTGTTGTTAGAGTACCAGATCCCAATCTAACACAGAGATGGATGACAAATGGAACAATCAAATGGAAAGATGCTGACACTATTCAAAATGTGTGTGTGTGTGTGTGTGTGTGTGTGTGTGTGTGTGTGTGTGTGTGAGAACCTACTTAACAAAATCGTACCCAGAAGTGAGCTAAATCTGACAAAACCTTCTTTTAGTGATATCCTGATTTGTTTTTGTTTTGTTTTGTTTTTTTAATTGGGAAAATTGGGAAAAAAAAAAAGTTTTCTGTTAGGGTTAGGATTAGGTTATTTTATCTAAACTAATATCTGAAAACATTAGACGTCTTTGTATATCCCCATTTAGATAGCTAAGTAAATGTGTACATGCTTGTGTGTGTCTTTAACCTCTTTGTGGCCTCCCCTGTGCTTCTCCAGGATGTGGAGGGAGTAATTGGTCCTCTGGCCTTTACTGTTGAACTCAACTCGACCTGTCAAACCATCATACTCCACCTGATCAAAACATGGGAATAGAGAGAGAAAGAGAATAGAAACAGTTATGTTACCTTAAATAACACAATGGATGCTCTCTAACACAGAGAACAATGCTGGAAGACTTTCAAGTGGTTGAATATATAAATGTACACACACACACACAGAGACTGACCATACGCAGGTAGTTCATGAGGCTGGTTCCGTGTTGCCAGATCTGAGGGGAGGTGCAGCTGAGAGGTTTGACGCCAATCTCCTGACTCCGGTTGAGTTCCTGCACTGCACTCACCACCACGTGGACCGCATCAAACAGCAGGGCCGACGACAGCTGAACACACACATACACAGTTTAGTGTGAGCAGTCTGCGTGTGATACATCGATAGGCTTCTGTATTGTGTTTGTGTGTGTATCACCGCTGGTCCAGGGTAAGGGTTAATGTCACAGCCCTCTCTCCAGGACAGGTTAAGGCTCCTGATAAACTCCAGGTAAAATGGGTGGGTGGTGTTAAACATTGAGAAGCCCACGATGTTTGACTGCTCATCCACTATATCATCCAACCACAGCAACGGGAAGTTCTGCACACACACAGGAATGACATAACACAGCAGAAAAGAGAGAACATCAGCCTGTGTGTAAGAATTAGAAATATGAAAGAATATAGAGCTCAGGATCAGAATAATGACTAGTCCTGTGAAATGGTACTGGTTAAGTGGTATTTGAGTAGTTATGTATAGTTTGTGTATAGACTGAATGAATGTTGAATGGTGCACGTGAGCAGTGTGCATAAGACGAGCGATGAGTTAAACTAGACTAGTTAATTAAAGGTGTGTGTGAATGCATGCAAGGTTTGAGTAACATGTAATTTGTTGGGGGGACTAGTGATAAGATGGTTTAGTAATGCATGCAATGTTTGAGTAACATGTAACTTGTTACGGTAGACTAGTAATAAGGTGGTTCAATAGTAGGTAAGGTCTGTGTAAAGTGGTTAGATTAATGATTAGAAGTTTCAGTAGTGTCCATTAATGGTTTAAGTATGTTACTGTAGGTTAGACTAGTGACTACAGTAGTGTTGAGTAGAAACTAGAAACTGTATTTTGGCAAGTGTGTGATGCCTAGTGTTTTAAACACAATAGGTTAGACTAGTAACTAGATGTTTTAATAGTGTGCTTTGTATTTGTAGGTTATGCAGTAATATGTCTTTAATGTAGTTCAAGCTGTGAAGGGGGTTGGCTTGAGAAGTGTGAGTGGGTTTGTTTGCGTAATAAAGATGAATTGTTAATACAGAAGATGGGGCTTCAGGCATGAATATATCTGCAGGAAAATAGGCCAAGAGCTCCTCCTCTATCTTACCATAGTTGTGAGGATGTACTTGTAAAACGCTGATGTCATTCCCAACTCTGACGCCTAAAAAGAAAGGCAAGAGGAACGAGACAAAAACATTTCATTGTGTGTGGAGAGCTGCACAGAAAAGCAGAATATTTCAGTGCTCATTGTAGAATACAGTCCTTCAGAAACATTATAATATTTATAGTATCTATAAATTAAAATGCAGGTATACTGAACAAAGCTGAATTACAAGGTGACGAGAGAACGAGAGACTGAAGTGGGCGAGAAAAGGAGAATGAATGAATGTGAAATAAGCCAAAGCAACAGCATTTAGATAATGTGACTATATGCTTACCTTTTTCAGTATAAGGTAAGATAAAGATGCATTAGCATCAATAATTATTGTAGCTATTTTGTCATCACGAATCTCCTTTAGTAAAGGCGTGGGGTCAAGGTTGTCATCCAGCATCCTGATTGACAGCGTCTCTCGAGAGATCAAAAACCCCCTTATCAGCTCCTCTAGTCTCAGCAGACCTGCGGGGAAGAAGGCAAGTTGTTGGCCGAAAGGATATGAACACTATTACACCAGACTGGAATTGAAAGGGGCCAAACCTAGCTTCATGTAGTGTACCTGAGATGGTTTGTGTCTGAGGTTGTTTGTAAACAGCATGCATCTGTCTGTTTGCAATGCTGCTGTGAAGAAAGTTAGTCGGTGGCAACACAAAGTCCAGTGAAAATGTAAATAACTAGCTGCGCTCTCAAGGGAGCCCTCATGCACAGAAAGAGCCAGTAAAGCCAGTGCCAAACTTTAATTAGCTTGAGGGAGGAGAGAAATCAATGCTCTCCACACTCTCATTCTCTCTCTCTGTCTCTGCTCTCAATACCTCCCCTTTTTCTGTCTTTCTTTCACTGATTTCTCTCGTTCATTCTGATTCTCAGCCTCTCTGTTTGCTTCATTCCACTAAATTTGTCTCTTTTTCGATATTTCACTTTCTTATTCCCACAGCTGTGTTATAAAGTGAACTCAAACCTTTTGTTTTCCACCAGAGACCAGTGCTGTCACACACTGAAACAAACATTATTAGACCCAGCCGTGTGCTTAATGACTCATGTGTCACAGTGACTAGAGCTCTGTTCCAAAACCTAGCGAGCAGCCAGCATTGTAGGACATCAAGGTGCAAAACCGGTTTCAAAAGGTAGGCATTTTAGTTTTGAGATGCCTAAATTCTAGCAGCAAGAAGGTAATCCCAGAATGCACTGCACCAAGTTCAAAGAAAAAAAAATGCATGCAGAATGAAGGTTTTATTAGTTTTATAAGTGTTTATTAGTGAATAAATAAATCCAAGATGGTGGACGAGTCAAGATTGTTGATTATACATAAAATTTTCTTTCATTCAATACTGAAAGTGTCAATAAAAATACTTTTGTTTTAACACTATTTTAATGCAATATTTGTGAGTACTATATCATTTCATGTTTACTGAGGATTCCTATTAAAATAACTAGATTTCACCCACAAAAATTCACCAAACACAGCAACATGCTAATGTAAAACTCTATTGAAATCAATTGTGTGGTGCATAATTTGTGTGCTGTGCAGAGTTGCTGCTTTCTTAAATACAGTCATTCATTTGGTTTCATCATACTTAATGGGATAGCTCACCCAAAAATACAAATTCTGTCATTAATTACTCAGCCTCATGTCGTTCCAAACCCATAAGACCTTCGTTCATCTTCGGAACACAAATTAAGATATTTTTGATGAAATCTGATAGCTTTCTGACCCTGCATAGACAGCAATGCAACTGACACATTCACAGGCCCAGAAAGGTAGTAAGAACATCTTTGAAATAGTCCATGTGACATCAGTGGTTCAACCATATTTTTATGAAGCTATAAGAATACTTTTTGTGCACATAGAAAACAAAAATAACAACTTCATTCAACAAATTCTTCTCTTTTGTGTCAGTCTTTGCCGCATGTTCAGGAGAGTAGCATGACGTATGCGTGTGGTGATGCTGGTGCGCGGTGCCTTGTTTACAAGCAGAGGATGCGCGGTGCCTTTTTTACAAGTAGAGGAAGATGCACGCTGTACATAAAACATGGAAACATATCTGAAGATTTCAACAGAGAGGATGAAAGCCAAGCCTTTCTTATTTGAACCAGAATATACAGTCGATAAACTAAGAGACATGGATGTTCTATGTCAGAACGCTGGCTCCTGCGTCAGCAGCACCACACACATGTGTCATGGTACTCTTGTGAACGCGGGCCAAAACTGACACGGAAGAGAAAACATTTTTAAAAAGTCGTAATTTTTGTTTTCTATGTGCACAAAAAGTATTCTTGTAGCTTCATAAAAATATGGTTGAACCACTGATGTCACATGGACTATTTTAACGATGTCCTTACTACCTTTCTGGGCCTGGGAGCGTTTTAGTTGCATTGCTGTCTATGGAGGGTCAGAAAGCTCACGGATTTCATCAAAAATACCTTAATTTGTGTTCCGAAGATGAACGAAGGTCTTACGGGTTTGGAATGACATGAGGCTGAGTAATTAATGACAGAATTTTCATTTTTGGGTGAACTATCCCTTTAAGGGCCACTTTCACATAGAACGCGATTTTTGCATTTGACCGCAATGCTTTTCTGTTGTTTTTCTCTGTAAACATGCTAGATGGACATGTTTGACCATTGTGCTCATGTCTTGCATCATTTGCAGCATCTCATCATCTTTTCTCAGCGACACATCTTTTAAAAAAATGCTAAGCTTAAGTTCAGAGTAGTAAAACACACCTCCATACCTTGCAGGTTTTTTCATTCCACTGCCCTGCATCTCGTGTTTTTAAATGCAAAGATGCTGTCTGTATGAATCACTTCTTAGTATTCTACTTATGCAAAGTATAGTCAACAAGGCAGCTGGCTTAGTTTTGGAACATATGTATGCAGGAGATAAAAATCATGGTTAAATTCTGTGTAAAACCTAAGCTTTGTAAAAAAAACAACAACTTAGAATGTGTTTACGCAGTTGTTTAGATGTTCCTTTCATGCTTTTTCAATCTGACAGACAAGAGGTCACTAGAGAAAAAACAGTTGAAGCTGTGTGGCATCAGATGACAGTTTCATAAATTAAAGGCAATGAGGTTCAGTACAAAATCACGGCACACAACACACATGAAAACATTTGTGTCAAAACAGGCTTGCGAAATTGCTTTCTATCTGTTTAACAAGAAGCTGTAGCACAGCAGAGAGCCTCTCTCCATCTCTTGCCACCATTTTAAATGAGCTTGATGAGTGGCAAGTTGCACCTACTCTGCTGCCATAGCAACCATAGTGCAGCCAACTGGGTCAGAGCTGAGCGTTATGTAGCGATGCCCTCTCTAACACACATGAACGTCCAAAAGCACAAACACACACACACAGCCACACATGCACACACTCTGCATATGTGCTGGTGTCTCACACATTAACACACACAGCAGGGGGGGAGATTTATTCTCAGATTACGTGAACGTTATGTTGTCCAGTGACATGCTGTGTAATTGCCCAGCAGTATGTTTTATTGGCACAGCTACCTATTACAACAAAGTAATTGTTAGCACTTGCAGTAAGAAAGCACTGCAGTGTCATTATCAGAGTCTGTTCTCCAGAACTTCTGTAATTTCATCTCTCTCATCAGCCTTGAATACATATTGTAATTAGAGTGTTTGCTGAGAGAAGATGATTGATTGGGCAGATGGAGTTGAGGAAATCAATTTAAACGTTTTTTGGAAAAGTGGAATTATTGTAAATGGGTTGTTTTCTTTAGAAAAGGTAAAAAAATTTACCTTTCTCTGAAGACTTCAGCACTAACTCGTATTTATAAGTATCCTATGCTAAAAAAGTGTGTGTTGTTCTCCATGTGGAATAATTGTACATATTCAAGCTTGAAGAAAGACCAGAGCAGCTGATGAGCAGAGCAGAGGTCTTGGACTCACATTCGGCCTTAGCGCAGACCAGACTAGCCGATGGGTAGCTGAAGGAGCGTAGGATGGCTCCGATGGCAAGGCTCAGATCCTCGTTGCTAGGATACAGAGTCACAGATGCAAAGCGCAGGTAAGGAAGCCGTGGAGTCTCTTCCGGACCGATTTTGACATGCGGAATCTGAGAGAGAGCAGTTTGAAGAACAAAAGGAAAGAGATTATGGTTAGTGAATTAACACAAAACAAGTAAATGTGGAATATTTAAATGAAGCGCACCTCCTTTTCCCCACAGATGTGACTGACTATGGAGCCAGAGGCAGGGCTGGAGGCGGGGCCAATCACAGAGACCACGCCCTTTGGCAGAATCTGGCACACTACGATAAAAAAAGTAGAGCATTTCATTCCTCATATCCACTCTGTTTGAGTCACTGTATGCTGTACTGCTTTACTTCAAAGTTTTTTGTGTGCAGGGATATATGTGTGTGTGTGTGTGTGTGTACTTTTTAATTTATGACTCACTAGTGTCTGTAGTCTCATACTGAGAGTCTTTCTGGAGTTCAAATATGTCGACCTCCACGCGAGCACGAGCCGGGCCCTCCATCACACTGTTGATGTTCTCGCGTGCTAACGCTAAAGCTAAGCGCTCCCCACGCCCACAGACAGAGCTGTCATCCAAAATTGCCGCTAACAGAGGAGAGAATGAGAATGAGAATGAGAGAGAAACAGACAGATAAAGTAGAGAGAAATCATTACAAGAATGGGTACAAGTAATATAAATGCAATATATAACAACCCTTTAATAATCACTCTTTTACAACAACCATCTACCATGTCCAATAATAATAAAGTCAGTAATAAAGTCTATTTTTAAAGTCAATAATAAAGATTATTTATAATGATTCTGAATTGCCATAGTGTATCTAATAGGATCTTCTGTAATAAATTTGGTTATTCTCAACTGGTGGGCCAAAACCCAAAAATGTGTTGCAGGTTTGTTCTGATGGGGTCACAGATCAATTAGAAAAAAAAATATTCTAAATGCAAATAATAAAATTCAACTAACCATGTGCTCTACTGTTCAAAATTTCTGAGTAAATTTTTTTTACTTTTTTTTTTTAGATATTTTTTATGAATTCAAAGAATCCTGAAATGAACATATTTCCACAAAAATATTAAGCAGCACAACATTGATAATAAGAAGAATTGTTTCTTTAGCACTAAATCACCATATTAGAATGATTTCTGAAGGATCATGTGACACTGAAGACTGGAGTAATGACTGCTCAAAATTATGCTTTGTCATCACAGGAATAAATTACGTTTATTGCATTTGCACAAAATATATTAAATAAAAAAAAATATTTGAAATTGTAATAATATTTCACAATATTACTGTTTTACAAAAGAGTCAAGCTGCTTTGAAACAATGTGTATTGTAAAAAGCGCTATACAAATAAATTTGAATTGCATTGAATTTAATTTTACTGTATATGTACTCAAATAAAGGCTATATATTTGTCTCATCCTTGAAAACCATTTACAAACCAAACATTTACAAACCAAAATTGTAAACTTTCCTATTCAACAGGTGTCATGTTAATAATTTTGCATATTTTAGTGTTTATGCAGTTTATAATAGTACATTTTAGTTTAGTTTAGTACAATAAAATGTTGGTACTTTGTTGCCACTTGATTTCTAGAATTAAATCTGGGTCATAAAACAAAACCATTTGATTCACAGACAGATACTGGGCTTGTCAATCACATGACATGAGTCCATATGCATGCGACACTTACCCATCCGTACGGATGACAGAACAGAGGTCTGGCTCAGGGAAGAAGGCGGCATGGTAACCACGGTGACTAACAGGAAGCGGAAGTAAATCGACAGCAGGAGCGCTGGCAGTTCCGGCATCTTCTACCGCTCCTCATGGAGATGCCTTCTGCTGCCTACAGCACCCCCTAGATGAACACAGAAATTAGATGAACTTTGTTATACATGAGCACTTATAGATTTCCGCCAAATTGTACATTTCAACTTGCTCCGGTAGTAGACAAAACAAACATGTAAAAGGTAAAACATAAAATATCAAACCATTGTTTTGGGCATGGTTTTGTTTCGACCTGACATTTATTAAACATGTCCTTGTCCTGAGAACTGTTACGACTCTCTCACTACACAGACTTTCACATGTCACCCCGGACTACATTTCCCAGCAGCCATTTCACTAATCACACGTTCACCTGAAACCAATCACACACACTATATCAGGGGTTTTCAACCTGTGGGGCCCAGGGGGGCACCAGCACCTGTCAAGGGGGGCGAGAGCATCAGTTAATTCAGAGACGTTCCCTTGAGAATTTATGAATATGAGTTAACAAATCTTTAGCCATCCACTAGGGGGCAATCTGCTGAAATGCACAAACAGAGCCTTCTCAGACAGCAGGTGAATACCAATGGCTGTCTTGACAAGTATTCTTGTAAGCACAGTCGGTTGTTTTAAGTGAATGTAAACAGTGAAGAAAATATCAAATGTACATCAGTATAACGGATCCGTGCATTTCTTATGTAAATAATGTTAATCAAAAAGAGCAAAAGAAAAATTGTTCGCTGCTTTAATAGCTTTAATGGATATTTGCTTTTATGTTAATGTTAATAAAGTAATTCGGTGTGACTACAGTAATACCAGGGGGATGGGGTTGTTGGATGTTGGGGGGGCACGAGTGAAATTAGACAAACTTGGGGGGGTGCATGTCCTAAAAGGTTGAAAACCCCTGCACTATATAACACCCACTCAGATCCTGTTCAAACGGCCGAGTATTGTTTAAGCGTTTATGCTGTTTAGCGTAGCTACTTTACGGAGCCAATTCCCTGTCATTGTTTGAGTTTCCCATAGTGTAGTCATAGTCTTGCCTTGCCTGTTTTCTCATGTTCTGATTCTTGCCTGTGCATCCTGGATTACCCCTCTAGTCTCGCCCTGTTCGGATATTGATTACCCCTTGCCTGGTCCATCGCCTGTGTTTGGATTAACCCTTTGGATTACCCTGTTTGGACATTGTTCACCGGAGATCGACCACGCCCGTTTACTGGACTATTCTTGTGTCTTGCCCTCAATATACCTGTTGCCATTGTCTGACCCTCACCTGTTTCTGACCACGCCTTTGAATAAAAGCTTTGCAAATGGATCCGCACATCTCTCGTCCCTGTCGTCTCGTTACAAGAACACAGTTCAACATTTGCCTGAATATAAAACGTACAAAACTACTGCTAGGCAAACAGTGTTTTTTTAATAGAACTTCTTACTCCAATCCCTATATAGCTACTAAGATAAAAACTTTCTCTTGAGACAACTTGCCCTGGTCTGCCCTATATCATCTCTTCTTTGGGAGATATACATTAATGTTCAAAAGTTTGGGGCCAGTATGATTTTTTAATTAAAAAAAAGTCTCTGATGTTCACCAAGGTTGCATTTATTTGATAAAAATACAGCAAAAACAATAAATTGTGATATATTATTACAATTTTAAAGAACTTTTCTATTTTAATTTGAAATATTAATTATTATTATTAAATTTTTAAAATATTTAAACATGTAATTTATTCCTGTGATAACAAAAGTTGAATTTTTACTCCAGTCTTCAGTGTCACACAATTCTTCTAAAATCATTCTAAAATGCACACAAAAAAAAAATCGCACTGACCCCAATCTTTTAAACGGTAGTGTAAGATGCTGTAACCCTGTCATACAGTACTTTAAAGTTTACAGAACAACACACTACTGCTCAGTTAGTTTTACTGCAACATTACGCACTGTTTGGTGTTATAATGGAGTCGACAGTGGTGTGCGAAACATCATCATGAATTAAAGAATCTTATGACAGTTTACTGACGCAGGTCACGACCGTGTCACGCACATCCCTAACAGCAGTACAGGGAAATCACACAGATAAGCAAACACCTGATGTGAAGTATTTGATTCATACACTCTCTCCCACACACACAACTGAAACCAATCTCAGTGAACTCTGACCTTTACAGACCTAACAAAATGTATTTGACCACAGTGTATTTGATCACTTTTTCCAGTGATGGATGTACTTCTCCCTGTTTCATTGTTCATTTCTCAAAATTAAATTATTAAATTATTATTATTAATTAAATTAATTATTAATTATTATTAATTCTCATCCCCCTCTTTCTTTCTTTTTCTCAGTCACATTGGATGTGTCAGCAGGCCACAAAAAGTGAGAAAGAGAGTAAATGAAAAGACACAGCGTGTGTGTATACAGAATTGAAGAAGCCATTATTGTTCCACTATAATTATTGCAGGCAAATACTAATGACCAGTGTCACAAATATAAATCTAAAGTTCACACCCGCTGTTTTGCATATGCGCACGGCTGAATAAAGCGATACTTGGCAGTCAGCAAGTAAACTGTAAAATCTAAATTATTTAGGGGAGAGGGTGGGAGCACAAAAGAAAGAGGCGACCAGATATGTGGAGAGGGGGACTGAAATAAAAAGCAGGGTAATGAAAGGAAAACAAAGAACGAGAGAAAGAAAAAAGAATGAAAGACAGAGAGAAAAGGAGACATTGAGAGAGAATATGCTTGAAGAGGGAGACCTCGGGGAAAGGGAGGAGTAGATAGCAGCCGCTTCATTTGTTTCTTATTCATCTTTGTAAGTAAGAAGTGAATCTGACAGTTATAATAATAGCAGAGTGATTCATTCTCCTTAATTGATTTGGACTGTGAAATGAGAATGCTGGATGCAAGCATTGCCAGTACCGGTTGTCACCAGGCTTCTGTGAGACGAAGATGAAGCATCGAGGATGCCTTTTCCCTTCTTATCTTTGCCTTTTCCACTTGTGGAAAGATTCCAGAGCGGAGGCAGGAAAAGACACCCGTCATGTGTCCCTCCTGGCACTCCATGGGCTGAGAGCACATGAGCTTCATAAAACCATCAAAAGCCCTCTTCATCAGGGGTCTGAAATCGTCAGCGAACACAAACACACACCGGCATGCTGAGGGGCAATTCACTAAGAATTAATTGCACTCAATGGCGGTGCTTTTTTGCTTATTTGCACACGCTATATGCATGATTCACTAAAATAAATATACAAATTAAGTCACAAATGCTCCTACAGCAAACTACTACAATCTTTCACACTTTACTAGAACTGTAAAGCAGCCCTATCATTTAGGTACCTGTCCACTTTAGTATACAGTATGTACCTTTATGGTACTAATAGGCAGGCCCCCTTTAGGTGCAAATAAGGTACAGAGGTGTACTTTTGAAATGATCCTGCCGCAGTGACAGCTATTGTATTTTTTTCTGAGAATGTAACATAACAAAATTGGAACTAAACTAAAATGCATGTTCATGACTCCAAAAACTAAAAACAGCCACAAATTAATTTGTTTTTGATACATTGTATAAAATTTGAAATCTTCACAACCTGTCTGCATTAAACATGGAACACCATCACTAGTCACAAATAAAATTAGAGTGTACTGAGAAATTTAGCATTGTCATTAGTTCATTGGTACATACATTTTCGAGGCCTTTATTTTTTAAAAGAATAAGATTAAACAAACTGAAACTAAAATTCTGGAAAAAATAAAACTAACAAAAAGTATACCAAGCTAAAAACAAAATAGAAATAAAAAACAAATAAAAAATTGGCTTTAAAAAATGAAATTTATGACAATGCAAATAACGCTGATTTCTGTGAATAATGTGACATTTAAAATTGGCATAATTTACAAAGAAAACATGTTAGTGCTGACAAGAATGACAGTGACAGTGCATTTGCAGATCTTTATATTATGTTTCTGGACTGGAGGTTAACTTATGAAGTTCTCAAATTTTTTTTGCACCAAAAAATTTCAAGTATTTGCACAAACGATCATTTTCCATCCTCACTTTCACTCTGCCAAAAACACATTCTACTGTGATTGGTGAAGTTCACTGCATCGTATCCACAGCCTTCCCCACAGCATGCTTGACGTCTTTTGAGGTGGTCAAAGAGAGCCAGCAGCCCAGCACTGTAATACAGCCATATTTGGTTGAGCTCAAAAAACCAACGCAACCACAATATTTGCAACAGTGTGTTTCAGCATGGTAATTCATCACGCTTGCTAAAATCTATTATCTGTATATATATTTCTAAACCTATTATTACAACTTGTTGTGAGACTGCTATAATTCATTGATATTTAGAAAAAAACTGGCAACATGTTGAGAATAATTAAGAAAACAGTCCTTTGTGATGTTAGACGAACAAATGAAAAACACTGTCATTCAATCGCTCAGGCACGTTGTTAAAAATAAACATCAGCCAATAGTTGGATCTTTTAGAAGGGTATGCATAGTTTTTTGAGGTGCTGTTTGTCTACATCCAGGGACAAAACAACGTGAATGATCTTAAAATCTTTCCCTCACATCTGTATAGTTCTTGTGATTGATGGACATTGATGGACATAGTCAACATTCTAGACTTTGTTTACACCACACAGAGAGGAGCTTACAACGCCCTCCCCCTCCCCCACCTCGGTGCCTCAGACCACATCACTGTCATGCTAATACTTGACTTGACTTGACTTGATATACATTAAGAGCACATTTCCTCAGATCGCACGTTAAAAGGTTAAATCTGTTTATCATATAAAGTGACCATCTTTTCACAAGACTTGAATTAAACCCCTTGATTCATATGGATTCATTTTATGATGCCTTTATGACCTTTTTTGGATCTTCTAAGTTTTGGTTCCCCGTACTTTTAATAGAGAGACAGAAATCTCTCAAATTTCATTACAAAGTCTCTAATTTGACATTATTTTCATTTTTGGGTGAACTATTCCTTTAAGTCACATGTAGACGACAATCATATAACCACGACTGGGGAGATTTCAAATCCTTACGTTTAAGAAGTATGGAAAACCAAAATAAACTGGGGAGG